CTGAGTGTTATGATTTTCTGGTAATTTTCTGGTGTCAGGCAGCCCTGGCCAATGCCAAGGTGACTTTACCAATGCCCAGTTCAGAAAAAGTGGGTCATAATCAGTCTTCTGCTAAAACCTTAAAAACTATTCCAAATGGTGATTTGCACAGAACACACTGAGTTCTTTCTTGACTAATAACTAATAACTAATAAGGGAAGAGAATATACCTTACTCTTGAAACTATTTTCCTCTTGGCCTCTTGCAAGAACATTTATGTCCTAGTGGCTGACAGTGATCCCTAAAAGACTTTTATTTCTCACTTTTACCCTTCTGTCCTGATTGAAGACTCAGGAATGTGAATGTAGCCTGAATTGAACTTTTCCATTTTAGAAACTGACCTATCACAACAGTCACTCCCCAGCACTGGGGTCAGATATCAGGTAATGGACGTGCCTGCATGATCTTGGGGGCATCTCTGGAAGTGAAACTAACAGGGAACCTGATCTAGCTCTCCCCTCTAGGACCTCTTCTGTTTGAGGGAGTTTTAGGCCAAGACACTCAGAATCTGAGTCCCTGATCTCCCACCAACCCTCCTCTGTACACTCTCTGTTCTAGTTGAACTTGGCTCTCTCTCTAGGAATCATCATCTCTGACTTTGTCAATTTAACTTCGTACATTCAACCAACCTGAGATATGCTCCTTTCTCCATGTATCCAATACTTGTAAAACTCTTTCCACGAGACCTAAGTCCCCATGAAAGGAGTCCTAGAGACACGGAGAGCGACATGTTCACAACTGAGTCCAGTACTGTTCATCCACTGAGGCTCCAGGTGCATCTGTGAAGCCAGAGCCTCCAGCCCAGCGTGGCCACTGAGCGACAGCCAGTTCCACGTGAGGCAGAAGAATGTCTTGCTGTTTTTGTTGTTGTTCAGTCACTAAGTCATGTCTGACTCTTTGCAACCCCATGGACAGACCACTCATCTCCTCTGTCCTTCACTGTCTCCTGGAGTTTGCTCAAATTCATGTCCACTGAGTCGGTGATGTTATCTAAATATCTCATCCTCTGCCTCCCCCTTCTCCTTTGGCTTTCAGAGTTTGCCAGCTGAGCCCTGCCCAAATTTCTGATCCGTAAAACTGTGAGATCTAATGACATAATTGTTTCAAACTACTAAATGATGACAGGTTGTTTCCACAGCTAGGTAACCACAACATATGTGACCTCCCCAGGGTCGCTTAGCTAATACGAAGAGGAAACTAGATTCTAAACTCAGACAATCTGACTTCAAGTACATGCATTTCATCAGTCTTCTATAGTTTTACCACTGGGGGGAAGAAAAATTTCAATTGTCCAAAGTCCATTGATCATCTTAGAGGGAAAATCTTTCATAAGCCATGCCACTCTGATTGTTAAATGATAAAGTACATTATAAAGCCTATCTTGTTTTCAGATTTATTCAACGAATGTTTATTGAACACCTACTAAGTGCCAGATCTTTATTTGAGAATTATCACCCATCCATTTGCTTTCTCAATGTACCCACCTCTTCTCTCAACCTTAACTTTCTTTTTCAATCAGGGGAGTAACCAGAGACATCCTTCTTAATGCAGGGTAAAGACTTAATGCTTGGCACCATAGCTGTGAGTAACTGAACATACTCCATGTAATTCACAAGTATTTTGTAACACATTAGTACATTAGAAAGATCAAAATGCTAATTATTTCCAGGAGGCTGGAGCATTAGAGGGCCATCAGTTCAAAAACTCTTTGTTCACCTTCACACATGGCTAAGAGCATCACTAAAAGCACTTAATAGTTTTTCTTTGATCTGAAGTCAACACTAACCAAGGTCTATTAGAAATGAACTGTTCAAATGATTTTTTTTAACCTTATGCTTAAAGAAATAACCAGTGGGTTTTTAAATAACCAGATATTTATACTTGTGAATGCACAAGCTTATTTTGTTTCTCCTGGAAGAGTCAAATTTTAGGGCAACTCTATTCTAGCAATATTATCAAAGACAAGGAGGACTGAACAGTCACTTGGAAATGGCTGTAAGATTTCACACATAGGTGAAAACATGAATGATGAATCTATGGACATGAAATCCAGTCTTTCTCACCTGTTTTTTTTTCCTGAAGATTTCTTAGAGATCAAATTTTTAAATTTGATTAAATTAATTAAATTAAATTAATTTATTTTTAATTGGAGGGTGACTGCTTTACAATATTGTGTTGATTTCTGCTATACATCAACATGAATCAGCCAGAGGTATACATATGCCCCCTCCCTCCTGAACCTCCATCCCACCTCCCACACCATCTCACCTCTCTAGATTGTCAGGGAGCATTGGATTTGAGGTCCCTGCATCATATAGCAACCCCCTCCCCAACTATCTATTTTATATATGGTAATGTATGTTTCAATGCTAGTCAGAGCTCAAATCTTTATGAATCCATTTCATCCAGGAAAATTATCTGGCTCACACAGGGCACATTAGAACTTCTGAGAGTGACTTTCTTCACCCAAAGTCTTTACAGTCTGAAAACTGTCTAAAACCTTGGATAGAATCTAAGGGCTGCTGGGTCCACATGCCTAACACAAGCTTGATATGATCTGCAGAATGTACTTAAGAGGCAGACTTGGAGACAGGTAGGCTATTGAATTTTATGTATGTGAATGTTCACTGTTGATAACCATTTTTTTTAATTCACTAAACATCTTATTTTGTATTGGAGTATAGCTGATTAACAATGTGGTGATAGTTTCAAGTGGACAGCAAAGAGACTCAGCCGTACATATATATGGATCCATTCTCCCTCAAAGTCCTTCCCATTCAGGCTTCCACATAACAAGAGCAGAATTGTTGGTTATCCATTTTAAATATAGCAGTGTCTACCTGTCCATCCTAAGTTTTTCCAGAGCCCAAGGCAAAATCCTTATGGCTGGTTGGCCAAACAAAAAGTTCAAAACCCTTGGCATAGTTATTTCCTTTAGCTAATCTTTACAAAGAATATGGGGCTTTTAAATCTCTCATTCCAATCTATTCCAATTCTGCTCATCTGCTGGCTTTTCTCCAATAGCACTTTATGCTTTTATACACTCTTAAAAACAACAAGCATCAACAGGTTTATGACTCATTTTTATAGCCTTGTCTTTAGAAGCAAAAGGAAAGCCATGCAGATGTGATCCAATTATTACTAGACTAAAGGGGAAGGGACACATCAGAAAGGAGGCTGTCAGAGATGACACTGCCAGCTGTCCACAGCTGTTGTCCTCTAAACTGACAATAGGTCCAATGATGTCTAGAGTCATAACCACTTACAAGACCTTTGTACCTTCTATCGTAGGCTTTCTTAGTTTGTACAAATACTCACTTAATCTACTCCTATTTATGTATTTGCCCCTGGAGGGAAAGCCCCAAACTGATCATTATTATGGCTTAGCCCCTGAATCCCCATGTAACATTAAATCCTTCTGAGGTCAGTAAAAATGCAGCCTCGAAAAAGACTACAGGGCCATCCATTCCTACGAAGAAAAAGCCATTTACTCCTCTGCTTCCCACAGAGTTAGTGGAATGTATTCTGACAGAAACGGAGCCAGACCTGTGCAGACAGAACTATCCTTTCACCAACAATAAACAGATCTGCTCTCGAGCTATAGAGAGTCATAATAGAAATATATATTCCCTTTTATCTTCTTTTCAGTGAGTAGAGTGAAGTGTCAGGAGTTATTGCTTTAATATCAGTGGAGAAGAAGCTATTTTTTTTTGAGCATGTACATAGGTATGAATGTAACAACATGTGCAACTTTAAGACTGGGAAGTAACCGGCTTCTCAAGTAGCCTTTCTAAAACACATAAAATTGTACCGATAACATTATCTGTGAATCAGCTCCCAATTGTTCCTGTGGAATCATGTAAGCAGCTGTCTGGCTATGTCTACTCAAAGACAAGGGAAAAGGGAGACAATTTTACCACTACCTAACTCACATAAAATTAATTCAGAAGAATGAGAACACATCAGAGATTTAATTGATTATTGACTTTAGGTTTACAGTGCCCAGTGAAATCAATGGAAAGGTGATGTCAGAGACTCAATTGAATCCCTGGATAATATCTTAAACCAAGAAACAGAAAGGACAAGTACGATCTACTGAATCTCCTACAGACACTAACTAGGCTAGGGGTTAATTCCCCATGAGCAATTGGAATGTCTTATTTTTTGCCTGAGCATTTAAGGTTAATACTTCAACTAACTTTCTACCCTCTAATATCGAGATTTATGAGAAGCCAAGGTAATCAGCAAAGCATTAAGCTTTAGTTTGGCTACAATTACTTTTAAGTGACAAAACAAAAACATTAATAAAAACTAAGGACTCCCTACATAGTTAAACTCAGACCTTCAAATTTGCTAATATAATTAGGATTTTGGTCAATACGATGTAAAAGAAACAAAGCAGACCAAAAATAACAAGTGATTAACCAACTCTTATAAAATACAAGTATTGCATTTTATAAAGATTGATGGAAACTTCAGCTTCATCTACCCTTGATTTAATGCTACCCCTTGGCCTTAGAAATGAACAGTTCATGTCCCAACACTAAACCATCAGGAGGATGCAAGTAGAATTTAACTAGAATATAGTCTTTCCTATGATAACAAATGTTCCTTTCCTCCTTTTCTTTTTCTGCTATTGAAAAGAAAGGTAATAAAATGAAAGGAGAGAGTATGTCATAGTGAAAATGTTCTCCATCTCTCACCTTGAATAACAGCTTTACCATTTCAGTGATGGATATAATAAGAGTAACAACCTATGCGTGCGCACCAGACATTTATAATTTCTTTAATAATTACTTTGTCTTTATTTACTCCTGGGTTTTACTACTATGAGCATCTGTAGGTGGCCTTCCTACAAACATAGTAATTCAGACACTTGAGCTACAAAGCAACACTGACCATGATAGCAGTGTCTCAAAGACAAAGACGCAGAACCAAGGAAATGCTGCAGAGAGGCTTACCTGAATGCTGGCTGTGGAGCGGTTCTTGCGGGTTGTGGTGGTGGCCATTGTAGTAGTGGTCTCCATGACAGTGGTAGACATTTCTGGCGGCATGGAGGTGGTCTGTGTTGTTCCCAAGATTGATGGGACTTCTCCCACCAGCCGGACACTTCCGTTGATTTTAATATTGGGGTTGTTCTCAGCTGCCATGTTCAGTACTTTCAAACCATCATAATAGAGCCCAGAAAGCTGGCCTTGGAAGAGGCGTCCTTTGTCCTTTCCGCCGATAGCTATTTGCGCCTGGGTGTTGAAGATGGTTAACTGCCGGCCTAGTGGGTTGGGTGGAGGAAACATCATTATTCCCATACATTTTTCTCTGTTTGCCTTACCTGGTCTGAATGGACCAGACATCAAAACAGGCTTCCTTGAGCAACTGAAGAGGAGAAAATTGGATAGCAAAAATTCAGTAGAGGTATTGGCAAGTAACAAAAATTCAATCTAGACATTGGCAAATAACATTTCCCTATGTTTATCTCTTCTACTGTCTAGCTGAATATCCTAGACAACCTGAATAATTGAATCTCTACTTCTTTATTGTGAAGCAGGAGAAATCTTGCTTCAATGATGAGTGGTATTGCAGTCTTCCAGGGTATACAGTTGTGGATGACAGAAAAAGAAAATAACCCAGATCAGGTGATCATAATAATAAATCATAAATACCTACTGTACTGACTTTTTTAACTTACAAAGTAACATAATGAAAATGAAGAAGAATTATATAGGGCAAATAAAAACTCAGTGGGGTAACTCAGTACACTGAACTAAAAAACTAGGTCTGATAGTTAGCTGAAATTAAATTAGGTTTTAATTAAGAGACCTGCAGCTATTGTGTACTTATAAAAATAAACACCTCTAGGAAATAAAAGATTTCCTAGAAATTTTCCTAATGTATAATATTCTATCCATACTTGCTATTTCATAAACTTCATGACAGATTATTTCCTGCCTTTATTCATTTGGGGAAGGTGAGAGACCATGGTCACACAACTAAATCGCTCTTGAAGGTATGGAAAATAAGTAGGCATTGATCATGTCAGCAAGAAAGGGGGAAAGAAAAATGACGTCATTCAAAATTAACAAATTTAGAGGAGAGATAGGTGTTAATGAAAAAGGCAACACATAAAACACCTTAAAATGATATACAGGTTTGTTAATGGATTGAAGACACAGTAGCTCACCTTATTGTTAGTTCCCATTTGGGGAACCATTTAGGCTCTGTGTACAGAAAACTATCAGAATGAAATCATGGCAGAACAAAGAATGGTATAAGTCAACTTATCTTACATCCCAACTATCCCTATTTTAAAAAGCTTTCCTTAAGCTTGAGATCTTTCCCAGAAAAATCTAGCTTTTGAAGGACAAAGCCTTCTGTTCTATTGTTTCTCCAGATTATTTGTCTGCTTTTCCATATGGAGAAAGATGGAAAAACTTTTTTTAATGGAATTAAGTTTATCCTTTTTGAATTTTTCCTCCATTTTAGTTAGTGATCGAACAATGATCCAGTCATCCTTAACCTTGCTGGAATTATTTTAGCTATTAATGACGGAAAACAATGTTCTAGTATACTCACCTGTTTAATTGAAAGGAGTATTTTTTTTAAAGACTGAGATCTTTGCTCTATGATCTCTAATATGAATAGAGACATACTGTGATATTTAGGCTCTTAACTTCTACCACTATTATTATATGGTGTATAAGTCTATATGTGCTGTGTGTGTACTAAGTCACTTCAGTCATGTCCAACTCTTTGCAACCCTATGGACTGTAGCCCACCAGGCTCCTCTGTCCATGGGATTCTCCAGGCAAGAATACTGGAGTGGGTTGCCATTTCTTTTTCCAGAGATCTGCCCAACCTAGGGATTGAACTCATGTCTCTTATGTCTCCTGCATTGGGAGGCAGATTCCTTACCACTAGCACCTCCTGGGAAGCCCTTAAATCTATATAATGATTAGTATCCTTGAATTTCTAGTATATAATGTGGAATCCCTTCTCAATGTATAAAATGGGTGAAATGGAAGAGGTTAGAAATGGGAAAATGCCTCTACTCAGTGGGAACTCTTTGTATAAGAGCCCAATCCACTCATCAGGCAACTCTCAAGGGCATATTAGTCAAGAATGGTTTATAAATAATACCACTTTGGGAGCTTTAAACACTACACTGTGGAGAATTGGCCAGATAATTTTGTTATAGTGAAAATAATGTCTATAAAAATATGTGGAGCATGGAAATGGAATCTGTTGGCTTTAATAACAAAATTGCCCAGATCCTAAGGGACTAATCAAATAGATCTAATAGATTTCCATTTCTTTTCCCATCAATTCCTTCAGTGCCCTGTGCACACACATCATTGCCTATTCTTTGACCTCTCATTTTTCATATGAGATGCAGCAAAAAGTTCAATGCACAATAATGCTGGGTAATGGCCTGGAGCTCATTACTATTTAGTTTTTTTGACAACAGCTTTTTTTCTGGGAGCCCCAAGCTTACTACTGAAAGAAATGCCATGATGGAAGGGGAGAATAAATATGCTCTCAGCTTTTCATAGGCATTTGGAGTAGCTTAACATAATAAGAAGTTGCCTAATACGAGATCGGTAGGGCTAAAGTTTAGTGTCTTGCACCAGATAGCCCCAATGCCATAATATCCCTTCCATTCACATAACTGCTGGCCAACCATAATACTTATTCATTGACTTTTTTATATATAGCCCAGGACTGAAGATCAGTTGATGGTTATAACTGACTACAGTAGATTTTGCATTTCTAATATTCCCAGAAGTACTCCACATCTATAATAGTCTCCATCTTATTTTCCTAGTGATGTTAGTCCACCTATGCTTACAAATAAAGGAAGGTCAGAGAGAATTGAAATGCAAAGCTGGCTAGAAATGATGGATCTCTTTTATTCCAGTTGTCATGGTTAACTCTAAAAAGTGGTCTCTGCTTGTTCAAGATAGATCCAAGTGTGGAGCAAGGCAAGACGTTTCCTGGGCTATACAATTAAGCCATGGCTTCATTTCTGGCTATTCCTGCTTTCACAGAGAGATCTGACTAATCATTTCTTGACCACAAGACACTGGTGGGGTAAATAGGGAAGGAGTGTGTATGTTTCAGGCATCCATCATACCATAGGAAGTATTTGGGTCTTTGTTTCATGGTTTATTTCTGGCTGGATTTACTTTTGTTATGTTCTAAACCCCTTTCTCGGCCCTCTGTACCTTAGATTAAGGTGGTTAATAGTAATGCTGGCAGGCACTAAAGGAATAGTGGGATATTCAAGTCTTCTGCCATCTTTTCCTCTGATCAATTTCTCTCTCTCAAGGAAGCAGGAGTAAGTGAGTAAGTGAGAAACAATCATCACAACCCTCTCCTTGTGAAGGACATAAGGGACCGACCACAGAACATTGTACCATCTGCCCAAGATTTCTCAGAATCAGGGCCAGGTCTCCTTGTCGTCACTCATTATGATCAATCATGTTTTGTTTTGTTTTTTAATAAGAGATGACCACTATTCTATCTATATCCCAGTCTGATAATGGATTCCAATCTATCACCAATAATATAAAATCTGACTACACTACCAGTATGGGCTTTGTAGCAGTTTATTTTGTGTTTTGTTTTGGGTACCCGTTCTCTTGGAAGTCGTTAAATGCTCCCTCATTTGGACACCAAGTTCACATACTGCTTAAATTAAATCTTTGCATGTTTCCAGTCAGTGTTGCACAAAGACTAATTAATTAAACCTCAGAACACCCTTGGGGAATAGGCAGTATTATTTCTCCTCTCCTCAGATGGGAAATCTGAGATATAAAGAGGTTAAGTGGATTGTCTAAGGTCAGAAAGTCAGTCAATAGCAGACAGCGCCAGAAAACGGGCTAGGGAATGCCGTGACTCACATCTTCTCTCCAAAGACAGAAACAACTGTTTCTGTCCAAGTGACAGAGCCGTCCAAGTACTTACTAATGCCTCTGCCTAATCATCTTTCCGGATTCACTCTTTTCTAACTCCTTGTCCTTGCAAGGTCCTTTGGTATACATTTTCTATTTCTTTGAAGGGAAAGTTAGCTAGACAGAGGAAGAGATAAAGCAATAGAATGAATAGATGTTACTTACCTAAATGAAAGAAAAAAGTAATTTTGGCTAAAATAATGTAGAAGAGAGAATCCCCTAGTTCTCAGAGAACTCTTTTCAATATTATTTGCATATATAAACATACGCACTCAGTTAAGAAACAAATTCCTCCCTTCCTCCCATCCAAACCACCCCTACCCAGTCCCACCCATTCAACCTCCCTCTACTGTGTGTTTGGAAGCGTCCTTCTATATCAAAGCCAACTGATAACAATGCTATTGGAAGAAAAACTAAAAGCCTACTAATAACTTTAAAATGATTAATACAAATGAAAATGCCTGGCATGCTATTGAACTTAGACTTCAAAAGGCAATGGAATAAAATAAAATATTATTAACATAAAATTGAAAGAAACAAAAACAATTTTCTCAGGCACATGAGACTCAGACATGCATCTAAATTGTCTTTTCCTTTTTAAGAAGTGAGGCAGTCATCATCTCTAATGTTAAAGGGACTTTATGAGCTGGTGATTACTAAACAAAATTATTTGCTTTTTAGAGTTATTCTTAATTTATATTTAATTAGACCACGTACGTTAAAAACAGGGCAAACAGTTAAGACTCAGTGAGGATTTTCCGTGTTTAAAGTCCTGAATGTTGTCACTCAATTTGCAACTGTAGCAGTCCTTTGTCTTTTTTTAAGTTGCATATTAACATACCCCATTATTTTTTATAAATAACTCAATCAAATCTCTACATATTTTAAAAACTCACTTAAGATCTCCTTAAGAAAACAAACAAACAAAAAAAAACTCAAGCTAGAAGAGTAGCTACTGGCTCAGGAAGAAAAAAAAAGTCACCAGCTTGTTCAAGTCAGAAGTCTTTCTTCATTGAAAGGCAATAGTTTACCTCCCAATGAAGAGGAGCCACACAGAAAATTCTAACATCACATATAACCGCTGCCCTCTTTCATTAACAAAGTGGTTGTTTTCTTCAGCAAATGAGAAACTGCTGTTTTGCCTTCCATTAACCTTTTATTTTCCAACTACTTATACTTTCATTGCATAAGTACACAAAGGTACCACACAACTGAAGTGTAGAATAAGTTTATCTATTTATTTTTTTTAGTTTCCATCAGTAACTAGGATGTCATTAATCTCTTATGAAACATATTTGCCTCTGTAAGTTTAACTCTGAAGGCAAAATTCATCCTTCTCATTCTTTTCTTGTTTAAAAACAAATGTTAAAGAACATGGCTCCCCTTATAACATTTGTTTAAGCAGTTTAAATTACGAGTCAATCTATGATTTTTTTGTTGTTGTTGATGTTAACCATGCTACAGATAGTAAAGCCAAAACAGCCTCAAGATGTAAGTTTAATAAGTTCTTTTGAAATTTCTTTAGAAAGCTCTGGTATAAGAGGTAATTTAAAACAAATTAACAAATAATGTCATGCAGTGGTTAAATTGCCATAATACATTTCTTTTTTTAGAGGCTCCTGGAATTTCTTGTTGGTGGTTGTCATGCTGATAGAAAACTAGATGTTAGTCCCTTTAACTGTATTTTAATGGCAATGTATTACAGCATGATTTATCAACATATGGCAGGTGGAAGCTGACACAAATTATAATGAAAATTAAAACAGTCATTTATGCAGCAGGCGATTATCATTTAAGGAACATTTATTTGCAGGCTTTAAAAATGAGGGTTTAGAGTCAAATGATTTTAAAATGAAAGTTTTAACGACAGTTACCTTTTTCCTGCAGCCACTCTTCTACGGGCCGGTTATATTTGAAGGGGATTTTCTGTTTTACCATTTGGAAGCGTTCATTATCAGTGTTGCCTTTAAAGTTTAAAAAACAGCTTAAAGAAGAATCTGAAAAGTCAATAAGTCATTCAAAAACATCCTAGGTTTTTGGTGCGTTTTATGAGGTTTTTAGAGATAGATAGCAGTTTATCTTTAGTGGAGGTGGAGTCGAAGTCACTCTGCCCTTGGTTGGCAGGTTTGAGGTCAGGTTATTCTTAGCTATGCAGTGCTCCAGCAAGTTTTGGGAGAGGGGCTGGGGGTGGGCATCCGTGAGAGGCGTGGCTGTTTACCCAAAGGTTTGCCCTTGCTCTTCTCCGTCTGTCTCCAACCATACCTTGATTGGGTCAATGGAGGCACAAGGACCCCCCTGGCTTGTGAGTATCAGGACCTGTGATGTCTCAGTCACACATACTCCACACTCACTTTACTGTATCCTATCAGAATACAGCGAAGAACGGAGCCCTGGACCTCCTTATTCTCCTCTTAAGTGTCTGCAACTGCTCTACCTTGCCAGAGAAAACAATTTAAGCCTTGATGGCCAACGGAGACTTCTTATTCCATAAAGTGGGGCCCCAGCATCCTATTGCCTATGTAAAATAGAGTACCACATGGAAATCTTTTCATCTCTATCCCTTGGTCCAGATCTCTTCCATATTTTAAAATCAGAGGAACTCCCAAGTAAATATCTGTAAATAAACGCAGCTACCACATATAGTGGTATAGCATTTCCAGACTTTTGAGCATCTATATTTTATTAATACCAATAGACACAGGTTTTATAAGTTTACCTAGTCTCGCTCTCTTTCCTTCCTATGAGAGGTCCTTCCTGAATATGTCTCCATTCAAAAAGCCTGTTAGGGATACTTCTTCCAAGCATGAAATATCTAATTAATTTCAAGGCTCAAACATAATGCTTTTGTCTATGAGTATGCCCCCTTTCTTCCCTTCGTAAATGTTATTACCACCCCTGGATGGTTTGTCTAATTAGGACAGACTTGGAGAGTGGTGGTGTGAAGATATACCCCTAATGAATATGCTTCAAAACACAAAATAATGAATCCACGCTTTGGGAACTCTATTGTCTTGTCAACAAACCTCACAGAGATCAAACAGAAACCAGTGAACTTCTAAATTACTTCTGACTCTTAGTCTTCTAGTACTGGAACTTCAGGAAGCCCAATCCAGATCACCAGCGTTAAAAGTGAAATAAAAATCTCAAAACAGGTGGTTCGAAAGCAATTCATAGAGAAGTATAAAAGCTAGAAAGAATATTAGGATGGCACGTAGCACCAGGTGGATAAAAGCTTGCCCCAGTATTTCCATCTCTGGGCCATCTGCATGTTGGAGTTTTTATTGGTGGAGAAGATTCTGCGTGTGGTCAGACTAGTACCTGCCTTCTGTGAGAGGCAAAATGGTAAAGGGGTGGCAGTACTGGGTACATTTAAAAGATTTCCCATTCATTTCTCCTTTGAACAAATTAGTCTTAGGAGCTGACTCATTATTCTTACTCCCCAGGAGTAAAAACAAACAAAAAGCTCATCAAAGAGGAGACTGTGGATCTGTTTCCAGCCTACATTATGAGACTGTATCTGGCTGGCAAGAAGCCTAATATATTAACATATCAAAGGACAACATGTAATGAATGGAAAGAACAACTACAATTTGGGATTGCAGTGTATAATTTAAAGTTCTCCTCAAAGTGTTATTTCTCAAAGAAGAAAAAAAAAGAGACAGCTAGGAGCCAAAGTAGAAAGGTATCTTAACTTCTTGGTGTTTCAATAAGCCCATGGTGAAAAAAAAAAAGGTAATTTTATCTGTTAACATAAATAAATACCTAGGAGACCATTATATGATCATCCTGGTAGATCTGGTACACAGAAGTCTACTAATCCAAAATAAAGTTGGGCTAATTTTCACATGTCCTAATAGAAAAGGAAGATGCACTTTTCGGAAAAGAACCTATATCTCTCTAACTCTTAATTGTACCCTACAGGAGACAGCCACACAAGGCATGCCATCCATTTTCATAAGCTTTGACCTCTCTCAAGTTTTAGTCACAACAACATACTGAGAAATGCCAAATGGATTATGCCAGATTCACCTTGAATATATTCTATACTTTGAGTTTTCTGTAACTGTCATTGGTGCAATATTAAGTGTAGTAATGACCTTTTCCCACTCTCTGTAGAATGGATTAGTGAAGTCAATAGTGAAGAGAAGCTAAATATTCTTAGTACCACGCAAGGCAAAATATGAAGTACCGAATGTTCCAGACTGACAGTTCTATATGTACCAACTTAATTAAGAAGCTGCATTGACTTAACTTCTTCCACAAACATAGGAACCTTGGTCCTTCTAAGTATGCCCCCTCCCATTCAGTCTGTCAAGCATAAAGCTCCATGGAAAATCATTTCAGATGTGGTACTGGCTAGATGAATAAGAAACAATGGGGGAGAATCAATAAGTGATGTGTTGGGAGGACAGCATAGCCACGATTCAACCTTAGACCCTTCGGAAAGTGAAAGGCAGAGAGTCATTCTTCTCCATCTCAGCTTTAAAGACATTTAGAAAAAAGTTTTAAGTTTTCCATGCCAGACAGATAGCATCTGGCAGTGGGGATAGCGATCTTGCATACTGTTAAAAGTTGTGAAAGATGGAAGGTCATTTGGAAAACCAAATTGGTTTAAATTGCCACATTAACATTGTTCTTAGTCTCTTTTCATGTTCTTGTTGGTTTTTATTTTAATTTAGCTCAAACATTAGTGAGAAATGTTTTAGAAACATGTGCATGAGAATGAGTTCGTTTGCCCCGAGCCCCATTTGTTAGACTAACTGAACAGCAAACAACCCTCTAAATATCAGAATTCATACACAGGGACTACTCTGAAAGCTGAGCAAAACTCATCAAATCCATTTTCATTCACATCCAATCCTTAATGACATTTAGTTGTACATTTTATATAGCAACCAGTATGAACATTGAAACAAAAGCTAAAATTGATACTTCAACAGAAAGGGATGCTATCCTCAAGGAAGAATGGTCTTATGAATAGTAATGTCATAATGTCATTAAAAAGAAGCATATGTGCATTACTAATTAGATCCTAAAAATGTAATGATTACCGTTCTCAGCCACACTGAGAAATTTGCGAATTGCACAATGAAATCTTCAAATACACAGTTCTTAAATTACTTGTGTGGATCTGACACTCACTTACATGGGACTAAATTTTAGAAAAAAGCTCTGGTCATATTTCATTCTACTTAAAAATTTAGAGGTATGTATGTGTGAGGGTGTGTGTGTATCGCCATCCATTTTTTATACAATTAGTTGCCTATTGTCTTTTACTTTTGTATTATTGACTCTATTATCAAATATTTCAGTTCCTGGAGACACATACAACCATGCACTGTTGAATTATAAATATTGTGAAGAGCAGAATGCTTTGAGGTAAAATTACTAAGCCCCAACTGGTTCATACACACAGCTACAACCTTTATGCAGAAACAGCTCACATTTGCGACATTTGGGTTAACCCATTTAGAAGAAACGGAAGAGAGAACAGAGGAAGGAAAGAACAAAAGCAAGTTGACCCTTGACTAGTTTCCCAATACATCTTTAAGTCCCTCTTTAGGTAATCCAGAAACTTGCCGATGGCCCCAAAGAAGTAATTGAAGAACCTAAAGATAGAGCATACTCTTGTATAGCACAAAAAGTAACTTTTACACCATTTTTATATTCTGTTGGTCCAATCATAGATCCTATTCATTAGAACTTATACTAATTTTCTTAAAATCGTAATCAGTAAAGTGTAGGAGGTCATAACTTCAGGCTGTGCAGACACACCTGGCTTTGAGTTTTAACTTTAGAAGCTGCTTGACTCTGAACAAGTCACTGAGTCTCAGGTTCTCTACTTGCCAGTTGACCAGAGGACTCAGGATGGGATATTAAGAGGTAGAGCAAATACAGACCCTGCGGTATGAAAAAAAAAATCCAATCTATTTAAACTACTTATTATTATTAATATGATTGAATTCGTTCCTACTAATCAAAAGGAAGCTCATTAATTCCATGGCCTCCAATCAAAAGAGGACTGTATTGTTACCTTTGGTCCCACTGAGTTCATCATTCAAAGGTTAACTGACCATAGAAAATGAAACAGCCTACATATCCCCTATATCCCCTGGTTGTGGCTTTTTATATTTCTTCATCTTCTAAAATACACTCAGCTAACACCATTTCCAAAACAAAGTGGGTTTCTAAAACCACGGAAAGTAAAAGAGCAATTCAGGCATTGACAAATGTGATTTCTGGGTCCAGCCACAGGTAATGATGATATACTGCTGCTAAGTTGAGGAAGAGTGGCTTAAAGGTTCTGGCAATTTGCACTGGGCTGGCAGAAAATGCTTTCTTGCAGGTAGACTATTAATACCATCTGAAATGTTGTCAAGCACATGGATATGCTAATAGGAATATCGTAGCAACATTCGTCTGTGCAAAATTAATGCCAGAGGTATTTTTTGCATTTTGTTTTGAGTCTTGGAATAAAGGAAGGGAAAGTTTTCTTTATTGCTTTGTTGACACTAAAAAATGAGACTGTGGGTCTAATGAACAGTCAGAGAATGAATACTATGTATTAGAGCTAGAGGCAAAAGAAAATCGATGTGGGTAGGCGCAAGTATTAGGGCATTTTCAGAGGTGCTTAGAATGTCTCTCTCCCCAAAGAATACTTTGTGAGTTTTAAAGCAAAGTCAGACACTAAAGATAAGGGACTGCAGAAACTCCTTGAGCCTCGCTCTGATTTTGTTCCTAGTCTTGACCCAGATGAACTCTCTTTAAGAGTCAGAAAGAAGGGGGCTGTGCTTCCCAAAGGGCATCTAGAATATTCAGCTACTTTTAAGTGATGGATAGACCTCAACAAAGAATTAATATCTTGTATTTATAAAGTGCTTTGTGAGCAAGGAGCTCACAATGCACTTATAAGCATCATCTCATTAATCCTCACAACACACCTCTGGGGCTGAAGAAAAAGTAT